GCACTCAGGGGAGGTCCCTGAAGACTGGAAGAGGGACAGTGCTGTTTTCAAGAAGGGGAGGAGAGAGGATGCAGGGAACTATAGGCCAATTAGCCTAACCTTTATCCCAGGGAAAATCCTGGAAAAATTCATCAAGGAATCTATGTGCGATAGGCTTGGAGAAGGTAGCATTCTGAATGACAGCCAGTATGGGTTCTTCACAGTAGGTCTTGTCTTTCCAATCTCATCTACTTCTATGACCAGGTAACTCTCCACCTGGATAAGAGAGAGGAGGTCGACATTTTATACCTAGACTTTGAAAAGGCCCTTGATCTGGTATCCCATTATGTTCTTGCAGGAAAATTGAAGGATTGTGGGCTTAACTGCTTGACAGTTAGGTGGGTAGGAAGCTGGCTGTGGGGTAGGACCCAGAGAGGTCTAATGAACGGATCTGTGTCATCCTGTCAAGAAGTGGCCAGTGGTGTCCCACAGGGGTCCATGCTTGGTCCAGTGCTTTTCAACATCTTTATCAATGATTTGGATGTGGGGTAAACAGCTCACTGGCCAAGTTCACAGACAACACCAAGTTCTGGGGGAGCATGGTCATGCTTGAAGATAGGCTGCAGATACAAGCTGACCTAGACAGGCTGGCAAGTTGGGCAGATCAAGTTCAATATTGAGAAGTGTAAAGTGCTCCATCTGGGGACGAACAATCCCCAACATACTTACAGGCTCCGTGGTGCCAAACTGACTAACACCATGACTGAAAGGGACCTAAGGGTAATAATAGACCATAGTATGAACATGAGCTGTCAGTTCAATGGTGTAGCCAGCAGGGCAAACAATACTCTGGCATGCATCAACTGATGAATCTCAAGCAAAACCAAGGAAGTGATTCTTTCACTTTACTTGGCATTAGTGAGACCCCAGCTGGAGGACTGTGTCCAGTTTTGGGTGCCATGCTTCAACAAAGACATGGTAAAGCTTGAGAGAGTCCAGAGAAGGGCCACGCATATGATCAGAGACTTGCAAGACAAGCCATACGGGGAAAGGCTGAGGAACTTGGGTCTCTTCAGCCTAAAAAAGAGAAGGCTGAGAGGGGACTTGGTAGCAGCTTACCACTACATCAGGGGAATACATCAAGGGCTCGGTGAACAACTGTTCACCAGGGCACCCTTGGGGAAAACCAAGTGTAATGACCACAAACTCCTGGAAGACTGTTTCAGGCTTAACACTAGGAAAAACTTCTTCACAGTCAGGGTGTTCAGACTATGGAATAAGCTCCCTCCAGAGGTGGTGCAAACATCTACCCTGGAAATCTTCAAGAGGAGACTGGAAGGTCACCTCACTGGGGTCACCTGACCCGCAGCTGTCTTTCCTGCCTAGTGCAGGGGGCTGGACCCGATGATTTTGCAAGGTCCCTTCCAGCCCCTAACACTCTATGAATCTTGAGCTTTCACCCAAGCCCCTTTTGATTTGGGTGTTGTTGGATCCTGACTTTGGGTCCTAGCTGATTTAAACTAGTTCCCAGTATTCTGGTTCAAAATAAGATTCCAAACCAGAATGAGCTGGTTTTCCAGCTTCTAACTCAGATGGGGCCAAAGTCTCCCAAGCAAAGCTGAGCTCATGTGTTTCTCACTAATCAGGATGTCAGAATTGTCTGAGCAAATGAGAATTCTACCATTTCAGGCATTTGCCCCCAACATGTCTTGCAAGATCTCAGTCCCAGGAAACAGGAACCACCAAACTCTCCCTCCTTCCTACTGCTGTTTATGTGCCCAATTGATGCCAACAGAAATTAATTGGGAATCAGCTTATATGAGTACTACAGACGTCCCACTCAAGCATTTTTTTTGCTAGGCAAAAGCATAGTAATGAGTTATAAAAAAGACCTTGAGAGGGTGGTGTTACTACTCACCTGCACCTTCTGTCTTCTATGGTGCTGTGAGTTCACTCCCCATGTCTTTGTTTGCAAAGCCCCCCACTGTTAAGTTTAGCACTGGGATGTCAAAACGGAAATTGACAGGGGATTCTTTGTTGCTGGTGGAGCAGGGAAAGTATCTACCATCGCAATGGACAAAAATGCAATTTGCTGGCAGGGCTAAACATGTAGCAGCTAGTGCACAAGTTTCACATGCCTCATGGACCAGACAAATATTGGGCTGTGGGCAGAAGCTGAAAGAGGCCCATGTGCAAACTATGTCACGCAACTGCATCTCTGCTGTATCACTTAATTCCCTGCAGCAATAGCTCTGACTTTCCAGGCTGAGCAGAGCTGGCTCTGGTCTACTATATTTTAGTTTAGACACTTTAAAGCTCATTTGGCATTGCATCGTCTGTCAGCAGGTGTGGGATGCTACTCCACCTCTATTCAGTGCCATTGTTAATTATTTACAGAGTGCTGTAAGTTATTTGTATGGAACCAGGGTCTCCTATTGTGCTGGATATGCATAGCAAGAGGCAGGCTCTACATCAAGGGGATTGCTGTTAGAAAGGACAAAGTGGTAAAAGAGTGGGAGGACAAAGAGACCCAGGGAGCTTAAGGGACTTGCCCAAGGTCACCCAGCAAGGTGGTAGCAGAGCCAGGAACCAAATCCAGGTCTCTGGCTCCCATTCCAGTGCTGCGACACTCTAGACCCGGCTGCCTGCTCTGGGTAAGTGCACACACACTGTTTATGATCTGGACCAAGACACATTCCCTACAGCTGGGAGGACCTGTGTCTACGAGAAGGATCAGGGGCAGGAGGAGCATCAGGTGTCACTTACAAGAGCCAAGCTAACCCTTCCCTGGCCCTGCAGCCACTGCTGAATTCAGGAATTTGGATCCTCTCTCATCATATAAGCCTGAGGTAGGTGCAGGGCCAGAGAAGGGTTAACCTGGGTCCTGGCAGTGATATTTCTTGCAGCAGCATCCTGTCCATGATCTCTTGCCCAGCTGGAGGCTTGAGTCCCCCTACTTCCATTCCAGTGCCCCAGAGCATAGACTGTATGAGGTAGCCTCTGGGTGGCAAAGATCAGAATGGCACCTGGAGGGTGGGAGGGATTGTGACCTTCCTGCCAAAAAGGTTGGCCACCATTGGATTAGGGAAAACTACGGTGGACTGCCCCAGCTAGCACACATGCTGTCAGGGCTCCACCCTTCCCCTAAGTGCCGTCCAAAAGAGGTAGAAATAACAGTTTGCAGAGCTCTAACAGGTATCTGCATGATGGGAAAGTAGGTATCCCACAGCAGTTGAGGACAGATGCATGTCTCTAGGCCTTGGGAGAGCTGCACGGAACTAGCCCTCAAGACTGAGACTGATCCAGGCCTATTAGCTGAGCTGGAACCAGTGTGATTTGGCGTAAGGAGAAAATGCTTTTTGTAGCAGGTTTTGATGGAAGATGTAAGGCTGGATCCTTATGTCTCGCACTGGCTTAAATCCATGGTTTTCCATGGAGTCACCCTGAATTTACTCGTGTAAGTAGGAGCCTCCTCTGGCTCCTGTGTTCACTTCCCAGGCCCCCCAGGCTTTACTGAACAGGCCAATTTGCTACCATAGATTAATTACATGGAACAGATCCTCTTCTGGTACATGGTGAATAGCTATTTTATCTCTCCTATCTCTGAGCAATCACTTAGTTTCTTTATGTGATGTCTGCTGCCCTTGCCAAGAGAGGCTGGTAGTGCAGGTATTAAATAAATACAATTAAACAGTCATGATCTTAAGAGGAGCCTTGACAGCAGGAGACAAGGCAGGAGGCTGTCTGAGCTAGATGCTGACCCTGCCTGGGCAGGGAGGAACAAAGAGCTGAAGTGCACAGTGAGCCTTGTTCACGTGGCCCCTGACAAGTTGCTGGGAAGTGGATGATGAAAGCTGAAATCATCTCAGTTCTCAGCTGACAGCTTTGGCTTCAGTCAGTTTCACATGACTGCCCTGCACAGGGGGAAGAGGGGCTCAAAGGGATTCCTCAGGTGCTAGGAGGCTCTAGGAGTCAGTCCTTGAAGAATCAGAAGGCTCAATGGTGCTAATTGGAATTGGTAGCATAACTTATGGGGATGAGGTGCTGGGTGGAGGGGCACAAAAATGGCTATCACTGCAGTGATGGCTGAATGCACAGCCATGATCTGCACCATGGCTGCCCTGCTACACCTCTGGTGCTGATGACCTGTGGGGAGACTGCTCTTGGCTCCCTAGGTCCTCCCACAGCATGCTCCCCTACATTAGAAGTAGCCCCTGTGCTGGGACCTAGGGGGCTGTGCCTGCATTCACAGGAGATGGGGGGCTGCTTCAACCGTGGGCCCCTGCACCTGCCGCACTGCTCACAGTTTGTCATGTGGAGTCAGGAAGATCATGGAAAAGAGGCTTCTGTACAGGGAGAGATGAAGTAGGCTGGGACTTTTCCACTTAGAGGGGATCTGATAAAGGTCTGCAACATTGCAAACAGCATGGAGAAGGGAAATAGGAATTGACTGTTTGATCTGTCATAGCAGTAGAAATTTTGACTTACAATTAAGTTATTAGAAAGCAGGAACAAAACAAACACAGGAAATTCTTTTTCACCCAACATATAATTAACTAGAGCAGGGGTGTCAAACATGCAAGCCATGGGCAGGATCTGGCCCATTGGACTAGCAAAGAACCACTGGAAATTGGGGGAATGGCCAAGGGGGAGTGTCCTGCCACAGAATTCAGCGATCAGCAGCAGGAAGGTGATTGACACAGCCCCCGGTCACCCTCCAGCTGCTTTGTCATTGCTCTGACTCTACCTCTCTGGTTGCTGGCCCTACTGTAATTGTGTGCCCCATGCTGAATCCAGAGTCAGACCTGTTGCCATCATGTGCCCCATGCTAGAGCCAGAGTCAAAGCCAGAGCTGCCGTCCTGCCACTGAACATGCTTTGTGGCAGCAGCTCCAGCTCCACTATGGGGCATGCAGCACATGGAGGGAGCTGGACTTGCCACTGCCTGAGCCATCCCATGCCCTGGACTGGATACAGTCTACAAGGAGCCTGGTGGCCTAGATACAGCCCAGGACAGGACGTGAGTTTGATAACCCTGAATTAGTAACTCATTGCTGCAAGGTGTTGCGGAGGCTGACAATTTATAAAGGGAATGGAGATAGATTATTCTTAGTGGCCATAGGGGACAGGACTAGGATCAGCAGCCTCAAACAGCAGTCTAGGAAATTTAGCTGGGAGATTAGGAAGATCTTTCTGACTATGAGGGTGGTCAAACATTGGAACAGATTATCTAGAAAAGTGGAATTTCCATACCTGGACATTTTCAACCTCAGGTTAAATAGACACTTGGCTGGGATGGTTTAGTCAGGGATGATGCTGCCTTGAGCAGGGGCTAGACCAGATGGTCTCACGAGGTCCCTTCCAGCTCTACTTTCCTGTGATCCTATAATTTTACTGGATTCCAAAGGGGATTGCACACATTCATGCAGGAAAGATCCATCGATGGGTATTAAACTTTACAATTAGGGGTGCAGCTTCCCAATGAGCACTTCCTAGGCCCCTAAGTGCAGGAAGCTGCAAGAGGAGAGGGGCAGGGGGCAGATCAGTCTGGACAGGCCCTGCATAAATACTCTTTCGCTTAGCATCCACTCTCTGCTACACTGAAATAGAAAATACTGGGCTGGATGGACTCATGGTCTGCCCTAGTATGGCAATTCTCATGTTCTTAAGATTTACCAGTCTCACTCTGATTACCCTGGGCTGGGTGGGGCTACAGGTTAGCTCCCCCAGTACACCCTGGAAAGACTGTACTGTGGCATGGGGCATGCTGGTGGTGCAGGCACATGCTAATTGTCCTCACTGTCCCTGAGTAAGGCAGAAGTTAAAAGAAAGCACCAGTGCCCCTCCTCAAATTCATTAGAGTGACCACACAGGGCTCACTGGGCTCCTCATAGACTCTACCGTGCTTAGACTGGTCCTGTAATTAGCTCTCTGTGTTCCTCTGCTCTGTGACTACAGGCCAGAGCTGCTGCTTCTGCTATCTTCATCTACTTCCTGTCAAGTTTGCAGGGGAAATGACTAGACATAAAACAGTGGCTAATGCATGTGTGCCCTTCCGCAGGTCCAGCCCAAGGTCATTTGCACAAGCCATTCAAACCTGGGGTCCCTGGGCATGTTTATAGCTGTTGCAGCCTCATTTCCTCTCTGGCTGCTCTGTTATTTTTCTTGCTGCTGTTTCCATTCTTTCCAGGCTGGCTCTTATCTTTATGGCTCATCTCCTGCGTAAGCCCTAATGACCATGGCTTAGACCCAGTAAAGAATAGGTCTTGTTCTGTGTTGTGGAGGACAACAAAACAGCAAGAGACAAATTTCTGGGGGATTAGGGAACCTGCTGCTGACTGGAGAGATTAAGTTCCTGTAGGATCATCCTTGTAACCCCTTATTTTGTCCTTTGTCTCCCAAGGCAGCCTGCAAAAATACGTAAGTGCAGGTGATTTGTATTAATTATCTGAGAGGCTGACGAAGCATTGGCATAGCTGGCTCCCTTAGAGGAACTAGATACTTAGCAATGTGTCCCATAAAGCCACCTTTTTAGCAGCTGTCATTGTTTCTCCTGAGGGATGTTAAACAGGTTTAGACTGATACCCAAACCAGGCATAATGGACTGTGGTGAGGATCTAAGGTGTGGGCAGAGTTGTCTCAGGGAGGAATCCAACCAGTAGCTGAACCCTATTATCTTAAAATTATCTCTTTTGGGTACACTGAGGGCTTAGTCTCAATGTGGATTGAGTAACTAACTCTCAGGCACAATCTGGTTCTGGTGGATCTGGTTTTGGCCAAAGGGGATGATCTGGTGAGCAATCTGAGGATTGAGGGGAAGCCTGGTGACAGTGACCATGAACTGATCACCTTCTCCATTCGACACAGGGCAGGCAAATCCTTCAGTAAAACAGAAATCCTCAACTTTGGGAAAGCGGACTTTCACAAACTCAAGAGACTCATCAGTCAGGCAGTAATAGACCATGGCCCCTTGGGAAGGGGAGTCCACAAGGAATGGTTATTCCTTAAGAACTCAATCCTAGAAGCGCAAGAGAAGTCCATCCTGTCCCGCAGGAAATGTAGTCAGCAGGCAGGAAAGTTCCTTTGGCTAAATAGGAAACTGCTGGACCTCCTGAAACTCAAAAGAGAAGCCTACACCAAACAAAAAATGGGAATCATCACCAAGGAGGACTACTCAGCATTTGTCCGCACCTGCAGAAAGCAGTTCAGAAAAGCGAAGGCAGAAATGGAACTCAGACTAGCCGTCAGAATCAAAGGCAACAAAAAATCCTTCTTCAGATATGTGGGTAGTCAGAAAAAGAATAAAGGCAACATTGGACCCCTGCAAGATAAAATGGGGCAGCTGACGTCTGACGCCCAAAAAAAGGCCAATCTCCTAAACAAATACTTTGCGTCCGTTTTCCACCCACTCAAGGTGGTCACACTATCAGAACACAAAACGTCCAGGGAGTGGGAGATGTGCCCATAATTGATGCTGATCAGGTGAGAGAACATTTCAAAATCCTAGATGTCCAGAAGTCTGCAGGCCCAGACGGAATGCGCCTGAGAGTCTTCAAGGAGCTGGCAGACATCATAGCACACTGCATGGAGATGATATCTGAGAACTCGTGGCACTTGGGTGAGGTGCTGGAAGTCTGGAAAAGAGCCAACATGGTTCCAGTCTTCAAAAAAGAGAGGAAGATCCAGGGCTTTACAGGTCGATCATCCTGGTGTCCATCCCTGGAAAGATCCTGGAGAAAATCATCATGGAATCCATCAGCAACAAGCTAACAGAAGGCAACCTTCTGAATGCCAGCCAACATGGCTTTGTCACTGGAAGGTCTTGCTTGACTAACCTCATCACCTTCTATGACCAGGTGGTGCATTGCCTTGATAAGGGAGATGAGGTTGATGTTATATACCTGGATTTCAAAAAAGCCTTTGACTTGGTCTCCCATGATGTCCTCATGGTTAAGCTGGCGAATTGTGGCCTTGACCCTCTCACGGTCCAATGACTGGGGAACTGGCTTCGGGGTCGGACCCAATGACTACTAGTTGATGGGAGAGAATCAACATGGCACAAGGTGACCAGTGGAGTTCCTCAGGGCTCAGTTCTCGGGCTGGTAGTCTTCAACATCTTCATTAATGACCTGGATTCCGGCGTCAGATATGGACTGGTAAAGTTTGCATATGACACTAAACTATGGGGGAAGATGGCCACACTAGCAGACAGGCTGGGGATACAAACCAACCTGGACACCTTGCAAGTTGGACGGACCAAAACTTGATGGCATTTAACATAGAGAAGTGCAGGGTGCTCCACCTTGGGAGAAACAACCAGCTTCATACTTATAGGCTCAGCAGTGCTATGCTTGCTAACACCATGACCAAAAGAGACTTGGGGTCTTGATTGATCACAAGATGAACATGAGCCACCAATGCAATGCCGTGGCAAGCAAAGCTAACCAAACTCTGGCATGCATCCATCGATGCATCTCTAGCAAAACAAGAGACATCATCCTCCTGTTCTACTCGACCTTGGTAATGCTGCAGCTGAAGTACTGCATCCAGTTTGGGGCCCCCCAGTTCAGGAGGGACGTGGATAAGCTTGAGAGAGTCCAGAGGAGAGCCATCCGTATGATCAAAGGCCAAGAGAGCAAACCTTACAAGGAGAGGCTGAGGGACATGGGACTCTTCAGCCTGGAGGAGAGAAGGCTCAGGGGAGATGCGGTGGCAGTCTATAGGTACATAAGGGGAGTGCATCAGGATCTGGGAGAACAGTTGTTTACTAGAGCTCCCCAAGGAATAACAAGGTCCAATGGCCAGAAACTCCTAGAATGCCGATTTAGACTGAACATAAGGAAAAACTTCTTCACAGTCCAAGTGTCCAAGGTCTGGAACAGATTCCCCCAGGAGTTGGTGCAAGCACCTACTCTGGACTCATTCAAAAGGCGTTTGGATGTTCATCTTGCTAGGATCATTTGATCCCCACAGACTTCCCACATATGGCGGAGGGGCTGTACTCAATGATCTCACAAGGTCCCTTCCAGCTTCTAATGTCTATGAAATCTATGAAATCCCCACTCTGCTGCCACCTGGCCCTGGGCTAGAAGTGAGTTACTACAGCTTCAGAAGCATGCAGCTTGCGTATTCCTTTGTATCAGGCCAGTGAGGGACTAGTAGCCTTTGTACTCCAAGAATGGGTGTCCAAGAGCAGGGTTTCCTTTCTATCTCAGACCTGGACCCAAAATCTCGGTAGGCTGAAAAGGGTGAACAGGCCTTGCTTCTCTGCCTAGGGGCCTGAGCCTTGTGTGGTCACTCTGCCCAAAGGAAGTGATTCTTCTACTGTATTCAGGACTGGTGAGGCCTCACCTGAAATACTGGGTCCACTTTTGGCCCCATACTTCAAGAAATACCATATTTACTTGTATATAAGATGACCCCCAATAATTAGATTCTACATATGGAAAATTAAAAAATATTCAGTAATTTTCCAGGTATAGAATCTAATTATGGGAGGTTTGCCTTGAATTGCCCCCTACCTCCCACTGCTAGATCAGGAAAAATAAATCTGGGAGGTCAGGTAGCCCCCTTGCCCTCTGCCCCCCCCCAACCTCTTCTCCCTGCAGACCCTTCTCCCCCTCCTTACTTTAAGACCCTGCTCTCCCTGAGCACATGAAAGTGAGGGACAAAGTTGAAAACACTGAGCTTGTAATAAACATACCTGTAGTAGTTTACATATAGGCAAATTACTACAGGAGCCCATATATTTAGTTCAGCCAGAATTGATATATTTTACCTTTTTTTGAAACTGCTGCAAACTTTAGCCCAGGTACTCTGTAAATAGGGTGACAATACATCCTGATTTGGCTGGGACACTCCAAGATGCTGGTTGGTCAAAAGTCCCAAGCTAGAGTCTGGCAGGGAGGTAGAAAGGCATGGTGCACCAGGTGCATCCTGCTGATGCTGTGCGGGATTTGGTGATGCTTGCCAGACACTTAAGGCTGGTGAAGAAACAGGAATCATTGGAAACAGGAAAGAAAGGCTTAGCTGTGGGAGCGAAGGAGAAGTTGAAATGTATTCAATGTTGTGGTTCACCATGACTTGAAAAAGAGTTGGCACTGAGGGGGACTGTTTACAATGTATCTTATACCTTATTTAGATGGTTTGCTACATATATCTTATTTAGATGGTCTGCACTAATTTACCCTTGTGGTAGGTTCCCATACTTACCTGGCAGGGGAGATACTATGAACTTGTCAGCCTTGAATTATTCAATGTAGTTAGAGGGTGAAGGTCTGTTCCTTTCACTGCAAACAGGCTGACCCATGCAAGAGTCTACACATGCCTCCTATTGTGAGGACCTCAGCTACACAATTTATGGTGATAGAGGATTTCTCTTGGGCTTTCTCTCTAGCTTGCTCCTTTGGCCTTCTGGCTAAGGGCAAACAAGACTAGGGGGCATCTGAACTCCAAGGCCTCTGGGCTTGGGGATTGCATGTAGGATGTCTACCATGGACTTGAGAGTATCTGAGGCCCCAAACTAAAAGTCTGAGAGATAGGATAATTGCTAGTGGTAGCGCCACACAGACTTGAAGGATTGACGTCTACTCAGTCAAAATATGGATCTTAATTTAGAACTGATTTGGCCTTGGAAACAAAATTGAAAAAAATGTGGTAGGTTTCCATCAGTATGTTTGCCCGATAGAGGCCAAATATTTTTTAGTCATGCTCAGTGTTGGCTACATTGAATCAGCTTCATAGCTAGTTTCCATTAGCAGTTTAATGATAGACAGTGTATTTAATGAGGTTCCCTTGTATAAGAATATAACACAAAGGGCTCTTTTCCCCATCCTGACTGTGTGGGGGGGAAATTTCATCTTTCATTCAAGTAAATACATGGACAGATTAGAAAAAGTGCAGAACAAAGCAACAAAAATGATTAGGGGCTAGGAGGCAAGACTTATGAGGAAAGTCTGAAAGGACTAGGGTTATTTATAGTAGGGTAGATTGACCAATAAGGTCTCTAGATTTTGTTGTCAAAGGCAAAACATTCCCACAAATGGCCACAGCGTGCTTTGGGTAGAGGTGGTCTACCCATCTCAGAAAAGTCATGTTGCCAATCTGGCAAGTAACATGCATAGCTGCTATATTGGAATCCAAGATGATTGCCATGAATTCACATTTGGATCAATATTTCATCCCCCAGTAGGGTTAGAAAATTAATTCCAATGATAAAACTTATATTGTATAAACCAAGGAGATTAATCATAACATTTCTGTGGTGGTAGCTATATTGGATTCCAAGACAGCTGACACATTAGCATGTATGTATAGACACAATGTAATTAAAAAACCTATTAAACAATAATACTAAGAACTCACAAATGATATCACTACAAATTTAATAGCAGGCCTACAGTATGAAAAATATAACTCAGGTTAGCCTACTTGTTCAAGTTATATTGAATAAGACACTACTTTTTTTATTCACAATGCAGATAAGTCAGATATTAATAATACATAACCCAATGTCAGTGAAACACAGAGACATATGTTCAGCTTGAGGCAATAGGAAAATGTAACAGTCTAATCCAATGGTAATATAACAGTAATACAACGGTATATATAACATTAATACAATGGGTAATTGCAGTTTTTCAAATCTCTTCATTACTTTAATCCATTTCTGAATCCCTCTAGTTATTACACAGATTGTAACATGCTGGGTGCATGTACACAAGGTAGTTTTCTGTGCAGTAGAGCAGTTTACTGCACAGTAAGTGTTTGTGTCTACATGTACAGATGCTTACTGTGCAGTAAATTGCTCTAATCATGAGTAAATTTGCTACTGTGCAGTAGCACATGTGTAGACACTGGCTGGGAGCAAATTTGCTTCTGGTCAGCGTCTACATATGCGCTACTGTGCAGTTACCGATCGTGAGTAAATTTGCTACTTGCATTTGCAAGTTTGTGCACTTATGGGGGAACAGCCAGAGGCTGGGGTGCTGGGTGCCTGTCCCTGGGCTCTTCCCCCTAAGCAGCCCCACCACATGGCCCCCCACCCTGGGAGGGAACACACAACCATGTAAATAGTTAGCACAGAGAAGAGGGTGTTTTGTTGGTGGTGAGTGGTGGAGGGGCTCTTTGGGAAGGAAGGGAGGGGGGACAGGCTCTGTTGCTGGGGAGGGAGAGGGGTTTCTGTTTCTGTGAGGGGAATAAACTGCTTTTCATAGAACTATCCACAGTGAGCATGATGCTGGGGTTGTGCAGAAGGGCAGAGGTCTGTGGGCAACTGTCTGGGAAGGCTACACCAGGGAGTGCAGGAGGAGGTGATTGACTAATATATCTCACACCTGGTGCCCTGGCCCTGCTGGTGAATATACAGCTCACCCGGGGCCTCAGTGTGGGGGCCCACCACTGTTGCTGCCACTGCATTTTGTGCTTCTGGTGCCAGGCATCTTCCATCTGCTGTTTCTCCTCCACCCAGGCCTCATGAAAGAACTCTACCTGGGCTTTGCAGATGTTATGCAACACACAGGCTGCAATGATGACCCCAGGGATGTTGGCCTTGGCAAACTCGAGGTGGGCAGTGAGGGTGCACCAGCACCTCTTCTGCCAGCTGAAGGTACGCTCCATGAGGGTGCAGATCTGGCCTAGGCACCAGTAGAAGTATGTCTAACAGGGGTCCACCTGGCTGGAATAGGGTTACATGAGCCAGGGGAGGAGTGGCTAGGCGGGGTCCCCAATGAAGAGGGGCAGGAACATCACTGTGCCCAAGTGGGGGTCTGGCACCCCAGCACAAAGTGCGAGCTCTCCACCAGGGCTGACAGAGTAGTGTTGCAAAAGACATTAGCATTGTGGACACTCCCCTCCCAGCCACCACTCACGTTTGTGAAGGCACCATGGTGGTTGATGATGATCTGTAGTACAACAGAGTGGAAGCCCCACCAGCTGTAGTAGGGGCAGTCACTGTGGGGCGGGCAAGCAATGGGGATGTGGGTCCCATCCAGGGCCTTAATGCACTGGGGGAAGCCCAGGGCACAGAACCCCACCACCATCACCAGGGGATTGTGAATGTGGAGCTCTGTGTGCCCAGCACATCCTCAAGGGCAGTGGATACCTCTAGGATGGCCTCCCTGGTGGTTGCCTTGCTCATGCTGAAGAGGTGGCCGATGTAGTGGAGGCTGGTGGGCTTGGCCAGCTTGAGCAGGGTGATGGTCAGCCAGATGTCTGCAGGGAGGAGCTGCCGCATGGTGGTTTTCTGCTGCTCCAGGTGTGGGTAGAGCTGCTTCAGGAGGTCCTGAAAGGTGGCCTGTGTCATCCAGAATGCTTCCAGCCACTGCTTGTCATCCTGGGTGGTCTGGATGACTTGCAGCCACCAGTCCTGGCTGGCCAGGTGGACCCAGAGGCAGCATGGCTGGAGGCCCAGGAAGACATGAATGGCTCTGGCAGTGGTGTCCAGGAGTGCATTGTTGGAGTTCCTGCCAGGGTCCAGGCAACAGGACAGGGTCTGGGCAGCAGCTGCATGATGGTGGGGGGTCTGGGCTGGTGCCTGGGCTGATGCAGTGAGGTTGGCCAGGTGGGCACTGCACGCGAGGGAGCTGCAAGGGCTCAGACTGCCCTGGGCCAGACAGCAGTCACTGCAGCATGCCAACATGGCCAGCACCAAGGCGAGCAGGAGCCTGTAGTGGTGGATGTCACTGCCAGGGGTTGGGGATGGAGCAGCCATGGTGTGGGGAGGCAGAGGCTGTGGCGAGAGCCGCCACATGCTGCCTCTGGACTCTGCGCACTGCTCCCAGCCAGAAAAGCAGCTGGCCAGGGAGCAGGGCTGCCTTTTAAAAATGGCTGCCAGCCACAAGCAGCTGTGGCTGGAGCCTCCAGCTCCACCTAGTGGTGGCAGGGGCCCATTGCAGGGCTGCAGGGAACAGAGGCAGTTTGCTAAGAGCAGCAAATCTGCTCCTGCATCCCTGCATTCATAGACGCATACCTGGAAAATTTTACTCTTGAATAGTTTACTTGAGAGTAAACTGCTCCCAGATTACTTGCATGTGTAGATGTGCCCGCTGTCTCGTAGCACTCACTGACAGGAGTGCATGACATGTTAACCTGCTTGCATGAGCATGCTGGTCCCTGGCATTCCATCTTGCACTTGCAACTTGTTATCTGAAGGTATTTTGCTGGGAGTGGTTCAAGCGTGTTTATGATAGGAATATAACCATCATTTTCAGCTTCCCAACCACACTGATCAGGTGATGGCAATAGTAGATAAGGTTCAAATGTACTTTGCCAAACATTTCATAGATTTCATAGATTTCATAGACATTAGGGCTAGAAGGGACCTCAGAAGATCATTGAGTCCAGCCCCCTGCACCAGGGGCAGGAAGTCAGCTAGGGTCATAGGATCCCAGCAAGAAAAACATTCAGGTTTCTCTTGAAGGTGTTCAAAGTAGGTGCTTGAACCACCTCTGGTGGCAGGCCATTCCAGACCTTGGGGGCTTGGACAGTAAAGAAATTCTTCCTTATGTCCTGCCTGAAATGGTCTTGCAGGAGTTTATAACTGTTCGACCTTGTCATCCCTTGGGGCGCTCTGGTGAACAAATGTTCCCCCAGATACTGGTGAACATGCCTTATAAACTTATAGGTGGCCATCAGATTACCCCTGAGCCTGTGCTTTTCCAGGCTGAAGAGTCCCATAGCTCTCAGCCTTTCATCATAAGGCCTGTTTTCCTGACCTCTGATCATGCACATGGCTCTCCTCTGGACTCTCTCAAGCTTCTCCACATCCTCTTTGAATTGTGGAACCCAAAACTGGATGCGGTACTCCAGCTGTGGCCTCACCAAGGCTCAGTACAACAGGAGAATGATGTCCTGGGATTTGCTTGAGAAGCATCTATGGATTCAAGCCAGGGTTTTGCTCACTTTACTAGCTGCAGCATCACATTGCAGGCTCATGTTCATCTTGTGGTCAATCCTGGCCCCCAAGTCCCTCTCGTCTGTAGCACTGCTGAACCTATAGACATGCTGCAGGTTTTTCCACCCAAGGTGGAGGACCTTGCATTTTTCGGTGTTAAACACCATCAGGTTCTCATCCGCCCATTTCGTGAGGCTGTCAAGGTCAGCCTGGATTACCTCCTGTCCTCAGGTGTGGATGCTTTGCCCCAAAATTTGGTGTCATCGGCGAACTTGGTCAGTCTGCTTCTGACTCCAATGTCCACATCATTAATGAAGAGGTTGAACAAAATAGGTCCAAGGACAGAGCCTTGAGGGACCCCACTGGTCACAGGGCACCATGACAATTGACTTCCATCAACCACTACCCTCTGGGTCCAGCCACGGAGCCAATTCCCCAGCCAGCGGATCATGGTGGACCTGAGGCCACAGTTGGCCAGTTTTGCCAAAAGATGATCAAGAGATACCAGATTGAAGGCTTTTTTAAAGTTGAGATATACAACATCAGTCTCTTCCCACTTGTCCAGGTGATAGGTCACCTGGTCGTAAAAGGAAATGAGATTGGTCAAGCACTATCTACCTGCAACAAACCCGTGCTGGCTATCCCTCAGGGTGTTGCCATCGGCTAGTCTGTTAAGAATGGCCTCTTTGATGATTTTTTCTAAGACCTTCCCTGGGATAGAGATCAGGCCTGTAGTTTGCCGAATCCACTTTTCTCCCTTTCTTGAAGACAGGCACCACATTGGCCTTCTTCCAGTCATCGGGCACTTCACCAGAGCACCAGGAGCTCTTGAAGATCCATGCCAGGGGCTGAGCTATGATGCAGGCCAGCTCCTTGAGTACTCTGGGGTGTAAATTGTCAGGGCCAGGTGACTTGAAGGTGTCCAGCCTCTCAAGCTGTTCCTTCACGAGGTCAGCATTGATGGAGGGCAAGGAACCACCCTCACTTAGGTGTCCCTGTCCCGTAATGGGCAGGGGCATCCCATGGGATGCCCCATAGCTTTGATTATTGGTAGGGGTTACCTTGGACCAAAAAAGGTTAACTTTGATTACTGGCTCTATGTGCATGGTGCATAAAAGGAGCCACATGTAGGTGGAAGTTTATTTTGAGTTTTTCTTT